GCAGAGAAGAAAACGGTGATTATAACGGTAAAAAAATTACACGAATCGAGAAGGGCCTCATCAGAGGCGGTTTGTGAAATTCTCCGTGGCGGCAGCGCCGGGCTTCGTCGGTATTTTTCGGTCAGTTAGCTGGTTCTTTCACTCCGATTTGGTCATGAGTGAGTTTAAAATTGAATTTCGTACAAATTTTTTTTTTTTTACCTTTTTGGCGGTCGAAAAGGGTTTCGGTGCAGTGGCGATCGGCTCCTCGACAGCTGGGTTGTCTTCTCCGGCGATGAGTTCTGGCGGCTAAGGTTAGGGTTTGGGTGCATATGAGGTTATTTATACCCATCCGCTTTTGATCTGGGCTGTCCATAGCGTTTGATCTGAATCGTTTAATGACGATTAAATAGAGAGTGAATCTAGGCCGTTCATCGCGATCCAATCTGAGCTGTCCGTGTGTGATTCACTCTGGGCCGTCTGTGTGCTCGGGAACGGACCTCAGTTGTTCGATCGCGTGCACGTGGATCGCCCATGTGGTTCCCCTCGCGTGGCTTCCTGCGTCAGCGCCTCTGCCACTTGGCGCGTCCTGATTGGTCGGAGTTGCTGACCGGACGTCCGACGTGGTAAAAATTTTTTAAATTGCGTTTTAATTTTTGATTTTTTATTTTTTTTAAAAAATATCCCCGAACCCAAATTTTCACCATTTTTTTCCAAAAATATTTTTAATTTAATTCTTAATAAATTTTATCTTTTTAAAAATAAAATAAATAAATAATTATGTTTATTAATAAAAAATAAAAAAAAAGTTTTGGTGGGTGTTACGTGCAACCTTTATGTAAATTACGAGAGTCTTAACTATTATACTACTTTATCATTGGTAATAATTAATTAAAATTAATGAAAAGAAAATTAAAATATGCGACAAGTGAAGTTCAGAAATAAATGAAACTAATGGATTTTTATAACATGAACGAATGAGATTGTGTTTAATTACGTTCAAGATAGATCATGGCACATGTGTAGGTATGTTTTTTAAATCAATAAAAGAATTTTCATTTTATATTTGTCATTCCATAAATAAAAAAAAAAAATCAAAAAATACAACATAAAAAAGGTTGGAGTCACCTAATGTTATTATAATGTATGGATATACAAATATGCGAATATTCACAATTATAATAAATTCGTGGACATTAAATTTATGCTACAGTAACAAGTTATAATTTAATAATTTTAAAAACATATTACTTTGATTAGATAAAGAAATATAAATTAATGATGTATAACTGACACATCTAAATAATAATATAATTAACGTTGTCAAATTAATACTAGATCATTAAAAAACTTTAATGTTTAATAAATGAAAAATATTTAAATACATATGGATATGGATATGGATATGGAAATGGAAACATCAAGAAAGCGGGGTGTGGACTCTGGAGTCATCTTGGAGGAGTAGAGGGTTTACTTTTGTCAAGAGCCATTGGATAGTTGGTGGTGGACGTTTTATTTTAAATTTTAAATTTTAAATTTTATATAAAGAGTCGGTGTTCCACGTGGACCAATCATACTTCTTTACTCAAAACTCATAAACTGACGTCATAATTAATTAACACCAAAAAAGAAACAGGGCACGAGTTTTCCGGCCTGGGCAGTTGGGTCAGGTGGCCTCCCTCTGGGAACTCACTACTTCATGATTCATGCAACCACCCACACACTTTTTGAAAAACATTATTATTATTTCGATTAATTATTTTTTAACATTATATGCTCATTTTTTTTATAAAAAATATTAATTAAATGAAAATTTTAATTTTCATTGTGCATATCTATTACATAGTGTCGAGCAATTTAATTATACTTCTATTTATTGGGTTTGTTGATTTAATTAATTGATTCTCGTACATGTTATTTCTATAAGCACCCGAAGCAGGTAGAATCATGCACTCATCTTCATCCTACGAATAAGCATTGCTGCATGTAGGTTGTTTTATCCTGTCAATTTGTCTGAAAATAATTAAATTAAATTTCTTAATTCATTTATGTAAAATATAATAAATTTATATATATTTTAGTAAATTAAAAGAATAAATATATTTATATTTCAGTACATATTTTTGAGTAATTTTAATACAAAAAAAATTAATGGATAAGAATAGCAGATGGGCTTAATCGTACTCATCTAATTGACTTGGGCTCTTGTTGGTACCAGGCCACAATTAAAGCTAGAACTTGACAAATCACCCAAAAACAATTTAGAGCGTGAGCGGCAGGATTCGAACCTGCGCGGGCAGAGCCCACATGATTTCTAGTCATGCCCGATAACCACTCCGGCACGCCCACTTTATTGTTCGATAATCTACTTTGCTACTAACTATTAAATAGTTTTGGTTCTTTTTTGCAAATTTTTAAAATATTATTTTGTTTTAAAATTGTAATATCTCTTAATAAATTTGGTAGGAAAGAGTAAAAAGTTGTATACGCTACTTGCTCTACCTTAACCAATATTTTTAGAATAGTTTTTTTTTTTTTATATATAGGATAAAAAATACTAATAATTTTAGAGATGATTAAACTTTAATAATACTTTAATTTGATCAAAATCATTTTTTTCTCCATCTTTACACTTTAACAAAATGTTGTAATTAGTATTATCATTTGTTCATATATTTTTATTGCTACAATCGTCAATAAATACGTGTTATTAAAATAATATAACAAAGTTTAAATTTTTAATACATTAATAAAATTAAGAATTATCATACAACAAATCCAAATTGTACAAGAATGTATATATTAAACATTGAAAAAGTTAAATATTTTAGAAAAAATAAAGGTTCCTAAGATCATGTATTAGCCTATTAAAAGTTAGTATTTGGTTTAAAAAACTCTTTAATGCGAGCACGAATAATCTTAAACCACTTAAAAGAGACACCATCATGTCAAGTGGGCTCATAACAACAAGCCAGACCCATGGAGTACAATAAACTTTCCTAACTCTTCATCCAAACTTGGATTAATGAGGAAGATGGGTTTGAATCCACTAAAAAAGTTTAAAAAAATAAGCTACCAAATCAATTAACACAAGAACATAATGGTTTTATCAACTTGTTTCAAGTACATGATGGAAATGGATAAGAAAAGAAAGTAATGGCCAAGAAAAAAAAAATCATATCTATCATAGTTAGAAATTTAGATTTTAATTTTAATTAATTTACTACGTAATTGCACCAATTTAAAAATTTAAATTTAAATTTTAATTAATTTTCTATGTAATTATCCTTAATTAAGGATCTAGATTTTAAATTTTAATTAATTTGCTATGTAATTGTAATTTTAATTAGAAGATTTTATTATTTTTTTATTCACATGTCTTATCCTATAAATAACTCATCAAGTTTTCATTGTAAGCACTCAAGATTAAAATCAATGATCTTATGAATCTTATTTAAGAGAGGTGTTTTCATCATTCTTGTTGAGTAAGTAGTAGATCTATTTATTAAGATAATAACTTATGTCATTTTTTCATTCTTCTTTTAATTTTCTGTTTTCCAATGATTTTAGTTCATTTCATTCTTAATAGATGGTTAAGTATGAAGAATTTTCATAATATTAAATTCTTTTATTGCCTTGAATGAAATTATGTAAGTTTCTGATCACGTTGGTTGATATTAGATTTCGCATTACTTTTATTCTCTCTTAAAATATCCATAATAATAAAGATACATATTCTTTAAGAAGACAAGAATTAGGAAAAAATCCAAAGATGATCTTTTGAGTTTTCATTTGAAAGAAAATACTTCATTCAATAATTTATTAAAGATTAAAGTTGGACTAGTAATAAGCTCCGATTCGTTTGTGTTTTTCTTAATCGTATTTGTTTTTTTATTAACAATCACATAATTATAGTATGGGTGTTAATTTTAATATAAAAAATTTACCAGGAACAATGAAATATAAATATTATTATGTATAATTCTGTTTAAAATTTTAGAGTACACATGTATAAAATTTATCAGACGAATAACATCCCATATATGTATATGTATTATTTTCTTTTAACATATATATGAATATATGCATGTAATACCAGAGATGCAGTACATGCATTTATACGTCGTTAAATGAATTAGAAGCATGATAATACAAGTAGGAAGGTTTGCCATCAAGTTTTGAAGCCAAATGATGAGCAACGAAACCATACTCACCATCTTCAGAAGCTGCAATGCATCTGTCGATCATCTTTCTTGACATTTCATCTTCTCCGTACAACGGCTGCTCAATCAATTCGCTCACATGCATCCACTATAATCGTCCCAGAAATATATATTAATTACATATATAATCAGGTTAATTAAATTAATTAAGAAGAAAGCTTTTAATTTCTTTTTAAATTAAGTTTATTTACCTTGGCAGCTTGAATTTCCTTCTCGTCAATTCTGATATCATGGGACAATGGCTTGAGAATGCAGACGAACAGCAAATCTGACTGCTCGAAAGCTACCAGGTGGACGTGTCTTTCAAATTAATTTTACACAAAAATCCAAAAGGGTATTAATTAATTCATATACCCAGGTACTGATTATAAATAGATGATGATAATATATATGAACATTGTATACAAATAAATATATTTACCTGAAAGCAACCATTTCTAGAAAAATTGTCTCAATCTGCAGCACATTCTTTACTACTTGTAATAACCGAAAGGATAAGAAGATCATGCATATATATATATATATATATATATAAAAGTATTTAGTAGTTTATAAATAAATCTATATAAGATTATGTACTTACACCGGTTTCTTCTTTCACTTCTCTTACAGCTCCAGCGAATATATCTTCGGACTAATAAAAAGATCATATTACAAGAAAGAAAGAAATTTTGCACCGTTACATAAATTTATATAATAATTACCTTGTTGATACAACCAGTAGGCAATTTCCATATGTTAGAGCAACTGTAAGGACGTCTTTCTTTCACCACAAGAATCTGTGATTAATTATATGTGATATGAGTTTACCTTTAATAAAATTTATGAATTTAACAAAAAAATTATAAAAGAATTAATGAAACATTAATTGGTACCTCATTTTTTTGGTTCATAACAAATCCTGCAACACCAATTTGATGAGAAGGAGAAGGAGGAAGCATAGAGGGTTCATTAGGAATCCAGTGTGTTAACACGACGTAACCCGGTTCAGCGTGATGATAATTGAATCCCTCCTAAATACTCCAAAATATTCGAATTAGATAAAAGTTCAATAAATGAATTTAATCGTTCTTGTTTTTTTTTTTTTTCTTTATGTATAGAATAAGATATTATTCGTAAAATTTGTAATAAGTAGGTTATACTTTCTGAACTAGATACTGATGATGAGTTTTTGAATTAAACAGAGTACCTGAATTGCAATTGGAACAAGGTCTGCTTGCTCTTGTAATATCTTGAGCCATATTCCTTTTTTTCCCTAAATCAATTACCCACGTTAAAAAATCTTAAATAATTACTAAGAAGCTTTTGTATACGTAGATAAATAATATTATAAAATATTCACTTAAAAATAAACCTGCATCTTCCAATTGACGAGTGACATGCGAATAGCTGAGGCAAAAGCATTAGCAGTTGATGGCAAGTTTTGAGGATCAACAATCACACCATCATACTCATCATCCCACGCATCAAGAATTTCCATTCCCAAATTTGGTGATGTTCTATGTGAATATCTCCCACTAACAC